AAAAAAAAATTTTTTTTTTTTTGAAAAAAAAAAAAAAAAAAAAAAAAAAAAAAAAAAAAAAAAAAAAAAAAAAAAAAAAAAAATAAGAGAGAGAAAGATACTCGAGCATACCGAGTGAAGAGTGTCGCCCCCTGGACGGTTGAGCATCGAATGAAAATATTACTAGTCCCAAATAATACAATTGTACAAGTTTTCTTTTTTCCTTTTCTTCAAACACCAAACCAACTACCAATTTCCAATGCAAATGGAAACAGGAATAGAAACGAGACGAAGGTGAGATTGGCAAACGACAGTCCTCCGTACAACCGAGCGCTCACGAATGAAGCTCTGGCAATTTCCTGCGGCTAATAACACCGACGTAGCAGGAACCTTTATTTCGTATAATTAATTCCCCGAGCGAATATTCCGACTCTGGATATTACCCTGAAACTCTGTGCTTTCTGCTTCGGCGATAACGAAGCATTAAATCTTCACATTGGCCGATCAGCAGACGTCGTGAGAGTCTTAAAAGATTTTTTAAGATTCGTAACCAGGGCGTCTGGTACTTTTAAAAATTCAAAATATTCACTATATATATATATATACAATAATACGACTGTACGTTATAAATAAAATATTTATCAGACATTTAATCCCTTCCGCGTGTTCGACTCCTACCCAAAGGGAACTACCCACACGCTCCACTAAATCATAGATCTCTTGATTTACAAAGGATTGTATGCTAATGGTTAAGTACAGAGAACGAGCGTTGCCAGGGCGAAGAATAATAAAAGCTGAAGATGTCTGCGGGTCGGTAGCTCGGTGACGTATGACGTATCGCGTGAAGTTATCGTCGATCGGCGAGCAGCTCGTCGATCGTCGATTTTAAGACCTTGTAGATTAAAATCCATCCAGCCATTTCCAAGTTATCGATAAGCGAATACATTGAACGATCCTCGGCTGCAGCGCCGCTAGAGTATTCAGGGTTCGCGCGCTTAATTTTCGTATTGTTAAAAAAAAAAAAAAAAAAAAGAAAAAAAAAGGAATGACAGCCGCTTACCGGAACAATGGACGAGAAGTAAAAGCGTCCCGGCGTGGACACGAGCGTCGTACCAAGAGCTTGCGTCTACGTTGGGTTCAAAGAGCGAAAGGTCGAGGCCCTCCATGTCGCTCTCGCCGCAGGAATCGCTCAAGGATTCAAAACCGTTTCCCGGAATGGAGGGAACCAACTCTTCCTCAGGAACCACCTTGTTAATCTGCCCGAGATTAATCTCCGACGACGTCTGACCTGGTCCCCGCCAATTTCGAGTAACCAGGGCCATCCCTTTTTCCGATTAGGCACTGCTCACCATTTACTTTGATAATTCAACCTCGACAGTGCACGTCGCACTGAAACGCTGAAACGCTCCAACGAGCGTACCTATGCTGGTTCTAATATAGAATCTCTCGGTCTCCTGCTCTCTCTCGTACCGTTTTCTCGCCTGTTCCTTCCTCTAAGACCTTGGACGGCAAAAGAATTTTGTCACTGCACATTCTAAACAACAGCTGGCCTTCCTGCCTTCCCTGTCTGTGGTTTATGGGTAAATATAAATTTTCGCGAAATCAGCGCGTCGCGATTTCAATTTTCTTTGTCTGAAAGAACGAAAAGAAAAATCCTACTAATGCGGAATATATCGCGGAATCGAGAGGTGAACGCCTTACGTCTTACGTAGCCCCGCCACTCTGCGACGAAGCCAGTGCAGAAGCAACGTTGGGACTCTGCTGGTAATGGTAGGAAATGAAAAAGGAGGGAAAAGAGCCCAAGAGGCAAGATCGGATCAGCTGAGAGAACCGCGAGGGACTCGAGAATCCAGAGAGTCCGGCTCTCTCTCTTTCTCGGACGGGGCCAGCGAGACAATCTGAAAAGATGAGCAAAAGGAGTCGTCGGTGTCTTCAAAAGTAACGGCCCGCAGAGACGCGAGATTCACGTACGAGTGCATCGGTTTGCCGGAACGCGATCTCGCCTTTTTCACCGAGGAGAGTCAAGAGGAGAGCCCAAGTGGAATGAGGGGACGAATAAGAGAGAGAGAGAGATAAGAGAAGACAGAGGAATTGCCAAGTTGCCAAGTTGCAAAGCTTCCCACTTGTAAAAGCGATCGAGCAGACTCCTCGTCGAAGACTTCGACTTCGTCCAGTTAGCATAACTGGCCTTATGAGAATCTTCCTACTCGCTTGAGATCCGCAAAGCGAAGCCCGTCTGCCTACATGCCAGCCTTCTCCTATAAGAAGGACGCTAATGCCTAACAGTAAAAGTCCAGCTACTTGCCGATAAAACCAGGCGACAGCAGTACACGTGATCTAGTCTTTTGAGTAGCCTTGCGGGGCATTACTGTAAGTACATTCCCTGCGGGACACACGCGAATGCCATTTTTCACTTTCGTAGAACTCTGCTAATTGACAATATTATAATAAACAATGCTATAATATAGGTAATTATTATGACAAATTTAACCTAACCTCAATTTTACGGCAACACTAGACGACAGAGAAACGGACGATGGCCACTGAAGTCAAATTCCTGTTCGCGTGCCATTTCTTGGAACGATATCTACGTAGTGATTGTTTTGGACAAAATAGAACTCTGTCGTGTCCTAAGTAAGAGAAGAATATCGAGTGACCTGAATTTACAGTTATTTCCGTGAGGTTCCTCGAAGTGACAGTTGGCAGTAACGAATTTTCAAACGAGCCGGAGTAACTCAATCGATTGGTATATTTGGGGAAACAGATCGCAACGTCAACTGTCAGAATCTCAATCGAATGTACCTTCTTCGCTAGAGGGTTTCTTTCGTTTCGAGACATAAGCCAAATGCACTTAGTGCGGATAAGATTCTTCCTCGGGAGTCTCATCACTCGATTCGCACTAAACACAAAGAAACAAACACGCGACCTTTCGCTTCATCACTGTTTCACTATTTTCCATTTCTCGTATCCTCGACAATCACGTTTTCCCGCCAGCCTCGCACTCGGAGCTGTTTTGTCGCGAACTGCCGGCGACGCTCGACGATCCGAGCAGCCGAGTGGCCGGCGCGTTCGGGAAGACCCGAGCGCCACCGAAAACATCCGAACTCTCGAGAGCCAATAGCGCTGCGATAGAATTAACGGACAATTATAAAAAATGACTCGGCATCCAAACAAAATCGACTTACTACCATAATTCTTATCAGTTTCTTAAGACTCGCATACCCAGATGCTTCCTATTGGCACGCGACCAAATCAAGACGCTATAAACGTTGGTAAATCCGTCTTTTCGTTTTGGCCTACATACTAGCAGCCACTCGCGTCGTATAATACCCGCTGTGAAAATGCCTGAGACCCACCTTAGGCCCATCAAGCCTAGATTTATCACCGTGATATTACATTATTAAATTCCCTACTGTACTATATATAGCATACTGACGCAGCCTATATCTTGCACCTTACAGCGAACAACGTAAAAATGACAAACGACCTGGACAAAAGTTCGGGTTAATAAAAAAGAGAAACCTTCTTTAGAAATCCAAAGACAGAGCTCTGTCAGAGCTCTTGACTAATTGCAAGCAGCAAGAAACGAGTGTCGACGTAATAAACAGGACGAAATAACAGATTCAGCAGGCGACTCAACGATCAAACGTGGAATCAAGTGACGGTTGTGGAAAAGGAGGCTCCAGAAACTTAAGAGAGAGAGAGAGAGAGAGAGTCGAGAGGAATACTGTGCCAACAATTGCTCTGTGATAATTCAATCCTAGAACTGTCAGCAACTTAACGGTAAGAGACTGGGTTAGACATCAACTAAGGATACAGGAAAGTAGGATGATGCTGCATTACTAACTGACGACATCGCTTGTTGATCCCACTGAACCTATTGTAGCAGAGGTGTAAAACGGTTTCCGACTGAAGAATCTACAAGTCACACGGGAAATCCTACTTCACGAGAAATCATTCTCGCGCTTTGCAGTCCAAAAGAGAGACTTCAAACGTGCAATAATTTCGTGACAAACAGTTGGCACCGACTGACCCAATATCGGCACTCCTGACGCAAGAAGAATTATCAGTCTACAGGCTATATTCACGAAACTATAAAAATTGCACATTATACACGAGGAATGATGCAATTGCCAGCAGAGCCATAGATAGCAGAGGGAAATAAGTAACGATAAGAAGAAAAACATACAGTCGTACGTATCTAACATTAGCCGCGTTTACACGCCCTGCGAAGCACGCAAGCCAGAACGCAGTTATTCTTCGGTCGCTGTTCCCACAGGAATTCATCTTCGATCCCCGGACAGCAGACTCGAAGTTGAAATACGTTACCTATGGATTTTCATTGATGGTGATAAATAACGAATATCGGGGCTACGACCATGCGATCCTTTCCAATGGATTCTCAGGCGAGCGCCGATTGGTCCCGCTCAACATTGCCGTTATTCCAAGTCACCCGTTACTTGTTTCTAGACAACGCAACAACTTTTCATCTATGATCGATCCTTTACAGCTTCATGATTATACGCACGATATACAGGGTCATTCGAGAAACGCACCGCCTGAAGTTAGCCTGTCCATTTAATTTCTATGACGCACCCACCTTCGGATGGTACGTTTTTAGTGAACAACCCTGTATATGAAATTTTTTTTTCAAATTATCTCGCTCGATAACATCAGCATGGGAGTAAGTAACGCGAGAGTCTACATTTTAATAATGGTCCTCGGGAGTGAACCAAAGTTGCGGGACTAAGTATTTATGCGAGTAGCGTCGCGACGCCGCTCGGGGCGCAACCAGCATCTCCGCCTGACGCATTCAATAATTGTATCCAAGTTTAGCCGTGGCAGGAATAGAAAAGAAGTTCGGAAACGGGTTTCCTGGAGTTTCTCGAAGCGAAAAGAAGAACTGATGGAACCGAATGAAACGGAAGACGGAGAGAGCGAGCGTCGACGGCGCACAATAAGCTCGGATGTAAATGCCAGAAGAAAAAAGAAAAAAAAAGACTAGAAACTCACGTTCGCCTCGAAGGAACCTGCTATCCCGTATTTCAATTTGCAATTGGCTCTCGTTTGTTTGCCTTTCTTGCAAATGGATCACCCGGAGCAACCTCAAGCCTCTTCACTTTTATTCCCTTTGACCATTCCCACGGGATCCTTTGATGCGGGCACTGGACTTCAACCGAAGCTCGACTCGGGCCTGCATGTAAATCATCCATTGCTCTCTTCTTTATTCGCTGTCGCCCGTGGAATTCAAAGTCAGCACCGACCCTGGCGACGACTTCGGAAAAGGCATTGACCATCAAGATCGATTTCGATATCAAAGCATCAGTGCCATCACTGCCACCAACATCGCCCTCGTCAACTTCTTGCGTCGATCTGCCTTACCGACAGACTCCAACACTATTCACCGGGTTACCGACGGAGACGTTCTCTACCTTTCTTTAGTACCTTTCGAATCGATTACGCGCTACGTGGCGCCACGCTCGTTCAAGCCGATATCCCAGGGGAAGCACCTTCCATCCCCTACAGCCTGATGCACCCTCAACGCCAATGACCAGCTCCGTGCAAAGCGCTATCCGGCTTACAAAACACTCGTCAAACTTTTACTGAACATTATTTGTCTCTTGGTCCGGGCTGTCCGGATGTTTGTAGTTCCTGTCGCGTTTCCATGAGATTTTTCGTTGGCATTTGAACGCTTCAACGGTTGAACGGCTGAATAGCCGAAGGGCCGAACGGTCGAACGGCGAAACGCGAGCAACGCTCGGGGAATTCCGCTTGATCGATACTTCTGGACGAAAAAAAAAAAAAAAAAAAAAAA